GGACTTCATTCTTCTTGGATCAACTATCAACACTCAAGGAAGCAGCAGTCAAGAAATCAGATGACGTATAGCATTAGGCAAATCTTCTGCACAAGACCATTTTAAGGTGTTGAAGAGCAAAGATGTCAGCTTGAGGACTAAGGTGCACCTGACCCAAACCATGGTATTTTCAATAACCTCATATGCATGAGAAAGCTGGACAGTGAAAGGAAGACCATAAAAGAACTGATGCTTTTGAGTTATGGTGTTGGAGAATATTGAAAGTGCCATGTGCTGCCAAAAGAACAAACAGATCTGTGCTGGAAGAAGTGCAGTCAGAGTGCTCACTGGAGGCCAAGGTGGCCAAACTTCGTCTCTCATACTTCAGACACATTGTCAGGAGGTACCAGTTGCTGGAGAAGGATATCATGTTTGGTAAGGTAGAGGGTCAGAGAAAAAGAGGAAGACCCCAGCGAGATGGATTTGCAAAATGGCAGCATCAATGGGCTCAAGCATGGGAACAATTATGAGGTTGACCCAGTACCCGGCAGTGTTTCGTTCTGTTGTACATAGGGTCGCTATGAGTCAGTACCAACTCAATGGCACCTAACTACAACAACAACAACAACAACATCTTATTTCCACATAGACTCAAATGTGAACCTTTTATAGTTTAATTAATATCCTCTATGTTAAATGTTAAATAGCAAATAGCAGAAAGGGCAATATCCAACCTACACAAAAAAAAGACAGCTGGAATTCTGGATACAGACTGTCTATTTCTATACACAGAAGTAATGAGGCTTCAGTAATGTGCAATTAAGAAACTTCAAGGTGTTAATTGATAGTGATTACTCACCTGGAGCTTGTTTCTATGAAATGAAACTACCAAAACTCCCAAATATCAATATTCTTATCATGAAACTTGACTTGGAAAGTGCTAAAAGGATAGAACTACAAGCCTTTTAGTAAACCATGATAACCATGGGTGTTCAGAGGGAGAAAGATGAGGCTTTTTGCTCTGCAAAGATTTAAAGTCTTGGAAACGCTATATAGGGTCACTATGAGTTGGAACAACTCAATAGCACTTAACAGCAACAACAACCATGGAGAGTGTCCTTGACATGTATTTAGCAATAGAGGAATTAACCCTATAGAATTCCTCTCTGGAAGTAAGGGCAATTTTGACATGTACCCCAGCCCGTCTCTTAAAATGCTCCTCCACTGCATTTTCCATAAAAGGTGGAAGTTGTCATAATAACCTATAGCAGTCACCGCTTACAAGAAGCAATTTGTAACACCAACTCTTTTTACCTCCAAATGTCCCATAGAACTGTCTCTCCTTGCCAAAGCAAGACAAGTCTGAATGGGTGCATGTAAGATTAAAAGGCTTACTCTAGGATTAGTAAGAGTAATTTTATTTTTACGCTACCAGAGCTCCTTCAGCACTATAGTCCCAAGAAGCTCTAGTAGTGTAGTGGTTATGAGTCGGGCTGCAAACTTCAAGGTCAACAGTTTAAAACTACCATTCATTCCACAGAAGAAAAATGAGGCCTTCTGCTCCCATAAAGATTTACAGTCTCAGAAACCCTATGCAGGGTTGGTATGAGTCGAAACTGACTCCATGGCATACCACCACCACCATAGTCCCAAGGCAAAAAACAGTATCTGAAAATATAAAATTTTGAAAGTCCCATTCTCCATACTCAAGCTAAACACACAAAGGACTTGGTCCAAAAGCTTTACATTACCAAAGTAAATACTCAGAGCATAGAGACTCTTCCAGAAAAGAAATCTAGCTGGAAACACTCCCTGCTTACATTCACTAGGGGTCAGGTAAGATTCCATTTTGTAAGAGTTGAACTTTAAACAGAAAGTCTTTAGTGGTGCAACATTCACTTATTAGCATAAAGTTACCCCTAGAATGGAAAGCATTGGCTGTCCCTGCCAAGATGACAACTTTACAGTGTGATGTTGGGACAGTGGACCATGAACTCCTGGAAAGTTCCATCAGGGCCTCAAGAAAAGCTCACCACCTCCATCAGTCTAAATTTAATTGTCACCCGATTCTTTCCTCAGTACAGATAGGGCATCCTCAATGCAGAAAATTGGAGGAAGAAAAAAAGATGGGTCAAAGGGCCAACAGCAGGCAATGCCTTACAGTGTTGATGATTCCCTGTTTGGACTTAAGAGTAATAGGAGGAGCACTCTGGATATTTTTATTCTTGCCAAGGTCCTTCCAGGTCCTGTACCATCAAAACACACTAAAACGCCAATGTTGTCAGGGAATGAATGATTTATCTGTGCTTGGGTGTGATGCTGGAAAGAGGGGCAATGCGGTAGGCAAATTGAATAAGAGGAAAGGGCAGAACGTGCGCTTGAAGAAGGGGGAGCTAAGGAAGTTGTAGACGGTTAAGAAGTGGGGAAGGCAGGGATGACTAAGGGCGGTGTAGGAAGCTATGGATAGCTAAGGAGTTTGGCCAGAGAGGGTATGGATGGCTAGGGACGGGGGCGGGGGGAGTGAGGGTGGTTGGAAGTGTAGGTAAGGCCCCTGTGGAGCAGCAAAAGGCAGGCCACAGGGAATGCCCTAGCACGATGTCCTCCCTTTCTGTGGGAGTGTGCCGGCTGTGCGTGTGCATGGGCCAGGCCACCAGGCCGAAAACCCACCACTCACCCCATGACTCCTTGGTTGTAGTTCCTCCGTTTCCAAGGGGTACCACTGTACACGCCCCCACTGCCGTGGGCCCGGCTGCCCCCCGGGGCCCGCCCTCCGCTGGGTTGCAGCAAGCTATAGTTGAGTCCGTATGTGCTCGCCTTGTTGTCTCGCTTCCTCTTGTTGCTGCTGCCCGAGGCCGGATCAGCGGACTCCGCTGTAGAGGCTGCGACCGAGGAGTGTGGGGAAGAGGACGCGGAAGGGGACAAGGAGGCAGAAGGGCCCGCGACAGCCCGGCGACCCCAGACCGCGGGCTGGTGGTGGTTGTTGTTATTGTTGGTCGTCTCCAGGGGCAGAAAGTCCCGCTGCTCAGCTGGCAGCGCGTGGCCGCCCAGCAGACGCTCTCCGGAGCGGTACATGCCGGCCGGGGCCGAGGCCACGCCACCAGAGGTGCTGGTGCTGGTGCTGCTACCGCTCCCGCCGGTGGCCGTGCTGCCGCCGCTCCCGCCGCCGCTACTATGACAGTGGTGGTTGAAGTAGAGGTTCCTTAGCCCCTGGGTCGTTTCCCAGATCTGCATCCACAGACTGTTGGACGGTCCGAGCTGCTCTGGCTGGAACCAGGCGATCCTCGGATCCATCAAACGGCGGCGGCCGCTGCCCCCGCCCAATTCAGCCGTCCGCTGGGCCGCCGCAGCCGCCGCTGCCTCAGGCGCACGCCGGGCCTCGGCGGCTGCTGCTACCACCGCTGCTGCTGTTACTCCTGCTACTGCTTCTACCGCTGCTCCGGGCCGCCACGGGTGGCTAGGGAACCTGGCCGGCACCGGCAGCGTCGCTCCCGCCCTCAGGGACTCCGCCGGCCCTCCCCGCTTCCCTCCGCCCTTATGCCAAGCCCCTGTCACCAGGGTCCCGTGCAAATGGCGGCGACAGCAGCTCAGAAGGACGAGCAGCGGTGGCGGCGGCAGCAGCGGCGGCAGCGAGATGCGCCTGCTCCGTAGCGTCCTCGCTCCTCAGGCCCCGGGGCGGGGCTTGAACTGGCTCCGCCCCACTCGCTGTGCCCCGCCCCGCCCCGTTCACGCGGGCAGAGCCGTACAGCCCCACCAACTAGGGAGGACGCGCCGTGCGTCACAGAGGCCGCTGTGCGGCGTGACTAGGGCTGCAGTAGCCGGGTCCAACCGTCCGGGTGCTGGCAGGGGAGCAAGCAGCACCCAGGCGCAGCGCGGGCGCGCACAACTGGATGCGTCTGACGTGCGCTGTGTCGGCCCTCGGCCGGGGATGGTAAGACCAGACGGAGGCCGCTGCTAGCTCCGCAGGGACTAGCTAGTAAGATGTGCCTCCTTGCCCTTATTCGTTCCCTCCACCCTGAGTCCTCAAGGGACCCCCACGGGTCTCCACACCCCTTCCGAGATCTCGGCCTAGCCTCGTTTTAAAAACCCTTTTTCTGCTAGTCGCAGAGTATAGTTGGTGTAGATGGGTGACACAGCAACAAGGGAAAAAATAGCGCCCACCATATGCCCTAAAACTCTGCCTGTGCGAAGACTGCGCAGGCTTCACTGCAGCCATCACCGCCCACTCCCTGTGTTCCGCATGCTTTTATCGAATCCTGCAGCGCCGGCGCCAGATTGGGAGAACCACCGGCCATGGCTAAGACCCTCGTTTGCTCCCAAAACTGGTGGAAACCTGAGCCTACTTGCCTAGGTGCATCTTCGTCCCCTGAGAGCAACTGGTACCCTTGAGCATATAAAGCACAGAGAAACACACACACTTAAACTGCTCAGCGTGGAAGGAAACTACTTGCACCTGCATCTTTTGAAAGAACTTATTAGTTCAGAATTTAAATAAACCAAACCTAAGCCTAACATAAGGAGCTCTGGTAGCGTAGTGGTTACAAACCGGGCTGTGAACCCCAAGGTCAGCAATTGGAAACTACCAGCCGTTCCACGGGAGAAAGATGAGGCTTTCTGCTCCCGTAAAGATTTACAGCCTCGGAAACCCTGTACTGGGTCGCTATGAGTCGGAACCGACTCCACAGCACATAACAACAACAAGCCTAACATGGTAGCGTTGTTGTTAAGTGCCATCGAGTCGATTCCGACCCATAGCGACTCTGTATGAGCCTGAACTGCCGACCTTAGGATTCAAATGACTTTGCAGGCCAGCGCATTAAACCACAGCGCCACGCCAGCGTAGTGGTTACGAATTGGGCTGTGAACTGCAAGGCAGCAGTTGGAAACTACCAGCTGCTCCTCGGGAGAAAGACCGGGCTTTCGGCTCCGGTAAAGATTTACAGCCTCGGAAACCCTGTTCAGGATCGCAGTGGATAGGAACTGACTCGACGGCACTTAACAACAACAACAAGCCTAACATGAGGACCATATTTTTGGCATCAGGAGAGAGTTTTTCCAAGATGATTATTTGCAAATTTTTCCCATTCCTGTGGTTAAAGACTAAGGGAAAGGGAATTTTAAGTATTTTAAATCATCAAGAAAAAAAGTGAACACATTTCATGTGTGTAGTTTAAGATTGAACAAATCCCTACAGCCCTTTTTAGGCTTTTATTTTGGGAGGTTGATGTTCTGGAAAAATTTTCTGGCAAATGATAAAAAATTGTTTACCAAAGAAATGATTGCTTTACCTTTTTTCTTGCTTAGAGAACAGTATGGTCGTATGTATGAAAAATATACAAAAACTTCAAATTTTGCTTAATTCTATTCGTTTGTTGTTTCTTTACTACAAATCAGTATAAACGTTTTCGCCTAGTGAAATTTGGTGTAAACTAAGCATTACATAGCCAGGCTGTTTGTTGGTATAGACAGCATAAAATACACATACCACTATTCATTTTCCTGGCTATGTAATGCTTAGTTTACACCAAATTTCACTAGGGGAAACGTTTATACTGATTATACCAACAAACAAGGAGCTCTAGTAGCCTAGTGGTTACGAATCGGACTGCGGACTTCACGGTCAGCAGTTTGAAACTACCAGCTGTTCCGCGGGAGAAAGATGAGGCTTTCTGCTCTCGTAAAGATTTACAGCCTCGGAAACCCTGTACAGGGTCGCTATGAGTCTGAACTGACTCCACGGCACATAATAACAACAACATACCAACAAACATTAAAAAAAAGAAAAAAAGTGTTCATATAAATAGCTTTCTTTTGATGATTTCAGGTTTTTAAACTCAAACAAGAAAAGTAGAAAATCCACAAAAGTAGACATCATTCAGATCCCATGTTGTTGTTGTTAAGTGTTGTCGAGTCGGATCCGACCCATAGCGACCCCTATACAGGGTTTCCGAGGAGTGACTGGTGAGCTTGAACCGCTGACCTTGCAGTTCAAACGGCTTTGCAGTCTGGCACATTAACCCACAGCGCCACACCAGGACTCCTCAGATCCCATAGGTATCGAGAAATACCTACTGTGAAGCCTTGTTAAGCATTCCTCCAAAATCTATATTTACATACATACAGTCCTTGTGTGACGCTGTGGGCTAATGCGTCAGACTGCAAAGTCATTTGAACTGCAAGGTTGGTGGTTCAAGCTCACCAGCTGCTCCTTGGAAACCCTATACAGGGTTGTATGGGTCAGAATCGACTGGACGGCACTTAACAACAACAGTCTTTTAAAATATTTCTTCAACTGTCCAAGAACAAATTAAATACCACAGATGTCTAAGACAAAAAAAGAAAAGAAAAGAAGGTATTTAAAATTTATAATAGTACATGCCAAAAATTAACATTTGTTATTTATTTGGGAGTTTTATTGATGTTTATATGCTAACCTCAAGGTCGGCAGTTGGAAACTGCCAGCTGTTCCACGGGAAAGATGAGGCTTTCTGCTCCCATAAAGATTTGCAGCCTCGAAAACCCTGTGCAGAGTCACTATGAGTCGGAACCGACTCCATGGTACTTAACAACAACAATATGTATTATTATATATTTCAATGATTATTTCTTCATTTATATGATTTAGTATAAATATATATAATTTCTATTTTTATATGTTATGTATTTGAGTGATCCATTTATTCAGCCAAGCTTTAAGAACTAACAAATATTTTGTTGAGTGTTTTTATCAGGAATGGATGTTGGATTTTGTCAAATGCCTTTTCTGCATCAATCGATATGATCATGTGTGGTTTTTTCTTTTTTCTTATTTATACTTCCATCTTTTTTTTCATGCTTTCTGCATCATTCAGTATTTTGCCCAGAGAATCCTTCAGTATTTCAAGTAGAGGTTTGAATGAAATCATTGACAATTTTAATCTTTTCACCATTTATCATGTTATTTATTGGTCAAGTGGTGAGGATTTTTGTTGTCTTTATGTTGAGTTGTAATCCATACTGAAGGCTATAGTCTTTGATCTTTATCAGTTAGTATTTTAAGTCCTCTTCACTTGTAAAAAGCAAAGTTGTATCATCTGCAAATCACAGTTGTCTTCCTCAAATGCTGACGCTATATTCTTCTTCATATAATCCAACTTCTCAAATTATTTGCTTACAGATTGAATAAATATGTTGAAAGAATACAACCCTGGCACACACCTTTCCTAATTTTAAACTATTTGTTTTTGTTGTTGTTATGTGCTGTTGGGTCAGTTCCAACCCATAGCGACCTTGCATAGGGTTTCTGAGGAAACGCTGGTGAGCTTGAACCACCAGCCTTGCAGTTCAAACGACTTTACAGTCTGGCACATGAATAAACTATTTAGTGTCCACTTAATTCTGTTTAAACAACTGCCTTTTGGTCTATGTACAGGTTCCTCATGAACACAATTAAGTGTTCCAGAATACTCATTCTCCACAATATTGTCCGTATCTTCTCATGATCCACACAATTGAAAGCCTTTACTTAGTCTATAAATTACAAGTAAACATCTTTCTGGTGTTCTGTGTTTTAAGCCAAGATCCATCTGACATCAGCAATGATATCCCTCATTCCCCGTCTTCATCTGAATTCAGCTTGAACCTCAGGACATTCCCTGTCAATGTACTCTTATAGTGTTTTTTAATTCTCTTTAGCAAAATTTTACTTGCATAAGATATTAAGGATGTTGTCTGATGATTGCCACATTCTGTTGGGTCGCCTCTCTTTGGAATGGGCACAAATATGGATCTCTTCTAACCAGTTGTCCAGGTAGCTGTCTTCCAAATTTCTTGATATAAATGAGTGAGTGCCTCCATTGTTGAAAGATTTCCATTTGTATTCCATCAATTCCTGGAGCCTTGTTCTTTGCCTTGTTCAATGCCTTCAGTGCACCTTGATCATATGCTACCTCTTGGTATTATCCTGTCACAGGTATTATCCTGTACTTCAAGATAGATATTTTTGTTCATGAATGCGATGCTATTCCTCTTCAATATGTCACTCCCAGCATAGTAAACCATATGATTGTCAGATTCAAAATGGCCAGTACTAGTCCATTGCAGCTCACTAAAGCCTATGATATTAAAATTCATTAATTCTATTTCATTGACATTTTCCAATTTTCCTAGACTGATACTTTGTGCATTCCATGTTTCAATTATTAATGGGTGTTGCAGCTGTTTCTCTTTATTTTGCATTGTTCCCCACAGTCAGC